ATTGAACTGGAGTTTGGTCGTTCCCGATTATTTTCCCACTTCTTCTACCCTTATTAAATATGATCCTGTCCCTGTTTTATTTTTACGGAATAAATTTAGAAAAAATCGTTTCGGTCGGCCAATTCTAAACCAAAAACCGCGCAAATATAAAAACAATAAGAGATATATTGAGAGCTTTGAAACGTTACAGATCCAAACTATTAACTCATAATTAATTAATTGTGATGAAATACAAACCCATCACTGAAATATGATACGTCGGTCAGACCACATTAGCGATTACAGGCAAAACAAAATGATCAGAAATGACTGCACTACTAATAATATTGCGAAAAAATTGAACAAATATTTTAGTTCATCACTCTATCGTTACTTATACGTTCAAAAATAAAACAAAAAACCAATTTTAAATCATGTAAGATAGCTTTGAAACTGTTATTACGATTTTCACATAAACTATTTAACTAATGCAAACACAATACTGAAGATGACGAGAAACCAAAATGCAATAAGAAACAACTAAACAGATTTTTATGAATGCTAACATTTAAATTACAAAAATGTTTCGTGATTATGTAAAAAATATCGAAGTGTAATTTTTCGCGGTTTCTTAAAACTACGAATATTCTTTTTTGTGTATATGTGTGTGTGTATTGACAAATTTAAGAGACTTTACTTTTCAGGTTTTTCCTGATTTAACAAGATTTGCAAGTTTTAATATAGAACATTGTAAAAACACGATTATTGCATGTTTTATGGGTTAACTACAATTTTGTGTACATTTTGAGTTTTGTACTGCTCACAGAAATCCGGTTTGAAGAAATGATTGCAGAAAACCCCATTATGCACCAGCGTTCAAATCTCTTAGGTTCTTTAAACTATTGATTCAAGGAACCTCTGTTCCTATTTAAATCACCAGTTTTAAACAACTTTTTTACGAAATATGAGTTTTGTGATTAAAAATACTTATTTCCTTCTGTCTTTCGGTATATCAGTAAAATGTGGAAGTCGAAAAAGAGTAAAAACTTTGCACGTTAGGTAAAAAAACTGAGCTAGAAAGTTTATATGTACAAAGACGTACACCCTTTGTTTGTAAACTAAACCATAATTTTACCTATTAAAAGTCGTCGTTTAACTAATAATAGTGTAGGTTTTTAAATGTATTACTCTACAGCATTTTCTTTTTAACTATAACTGCCATTTTTACCGTGGGAATGGTAAAAACAGAATGATGATGATGGATGAGAGGAAGTGGAGTTTTTGTTCCCAAAGCACTGTACCCTCCGGGCTTATTGTACTTGGCTTGTTACTTCGGTACGATTATCGAATGTCGTTGCTACAAGTCCTTTGTATCCCAGGACATAACTCATTGAGCGGTTGCTTCCTATACGGGTGGATGTTTCTTCCTACTCATTGCATAACCTGCAAATGGGTCTCATTGAATGAATCTATGTTATGTAGATGTTTTCTAATATGCCAAAGACCGGTATATAGTCCTATCACTTCTCGGAAATTAGATCTCTCTAAGTGTAGCAGTGAGTTTGCTGGTGTTGGTGAGGGTTGTTTTAGTTTACTGAGTTTAGTACCTCCAGAGCTTATTCACTTCTTAGTTTGTCTTTTTCAGTCCTTTGCTGTGATAGAGGATTCTGTAATAGATTTTGCCATTCAAAGAATAGGTCCAGGGTCTATATATCTCGCTCTGGCCGGTGTGTCTGCCTTTTCCCAAAATTGTTGTCCCGGTTTTTCAAGACATCATCAGGTTTTGAAACTCTTGGATTCACTGGCTAATTTTGATGTGATTTTTTTTACATGATTACGTTTTAATATCTATTTGGGAATCTGATCCTATGAGGATTATTTTGTCAGTGTCCCTTTTAAGATTTTGGTAGGTACATGCGTTGATGGCATGGATTTCAAGTTGAAAGACATAGGTGTACTTCCCTAATGTGTTTGAATGTTCGTACTTTGGACTTGTACAGAAATTGCCCAATCCGGTTCCTTCATTTGTTTTGGAGCCATCTGATATTCCAGGCATGTAGACCGTCATTCCGTCATTGTATCTGATTTCCTCCTGAATTTTCCCCATTGCGAGGAATGGGTGTCTGATTTGTTAATGAAGATTACCGCATATATTTTCAGCGTTTTTCATCAAGCGGAATAAATGCTGTTCTGCTAAATGCTGTTAAATCGTGATAGCAGAAAATAAATAAAAATCGCAAAACAATTTTTCTGTTGCTCGTTATTCTGCAGAAAAACCTCAGAAGATTCAGCCAATTATTAACCTAAATCTGTGGTTATTTTCTGTTATTATTTCTTAGTTTCTACATTAATTTCGAACGAATCTAAAGAAACAGTATTTTTAAAAAAAGTGATTATCTCAGAGAATATACTAAACACTATGTACTAAACTAACAAACCCGAACGAATGCTCAAAGAAAATAATTAATTTCTAATTACTTGGCTTCATTATTCTTAGCACAATACGTAAACGAAAACGTACATTGCCCCCTGAGCACAACCGTGGTAGGCAGGACAGACAGAGGGGGTCTGGCCCTGACCTGCCACCAAACGCCGGCTTTGTTCAATTTGTCCATTTCCACGGATGTCCATGTCTCGGTATGTGACTGGTAACAATTATTGCACGAACCCTTGATTAAAGCTTGAGCAGTATTTTCTACGTACAGGTTTACAAAAAGTCATTTTATTAAACTAATTCAGTACGGCAAAGTTATTTTGTGCTCGACCATTTTTAAAAATTTTCAATTTCTGGTTGATCGATTTTGTTTTTTGTTTATTAAATACGTAACACGGTTTAATTTTAGAACAGAAAAGTTGTTTTTCCTTTGGGGGCATTTTTATTTTGGAATTTGCAGGGAAGAATTTGCGGTATAATGCGGCCTGGGTATTTTCTTAAAAAAGGTCGGAATTATAATTTTATAATCTATTATATATTTTAATGATGGATAAAACAGAAATACGAGAAAGGTCTAGAAAAGAGTTGTTTTACTGTCGTGCTTCGAGATTATGGAATCTATCGTAGGACCTTGTTAGGAAGAAAGGTGACTAGTCAATAAATTCAACTATGGAGATCATAAATTTTTTATACCACTAAAGCTCGTACAGTCCTGACTTTTACCGAACGATTTTTTTTCCTTTAGATTATCCTCTTATCTCCTTCTCATTTACTTAAAACCCCGGGTTTTTTCTTAAAGTATGCGAACAACTACACAAATTGGGTGATTTTAAAAAGCCCGGCTGGACGTCCTGGACGATATGTGATCTAAGGGCGGGTTGGGACGATAAAAGGAAAAGGCCGACGAGGAAAGACAATCCGTGGGATAAGCACGGGACAAGGCATTAAAAGCTCATTGTGGGATGGCGATGCCCAGAGGCCGATTCCCACACATCTCATATCTTGGTCGGTGACCAAAAGGAGAATGTGACCGTTTTTCTCCTCTGCCCAGTAAAGCTTTCCCACTTTTCACCTTCTCGTGTCGTTTTGCGGATTTAAAGTTTTTCTTTGCGCCTGTTTAAAACGGAACGCGGAACGTGATGCGGCATGCCCTCGATGAAGAACGTTTACCTTACGGCAAATATAAACATTGTATACCGGTTAAAATAGGTCGACTTCGGTTTGTTTAAACATGCCGTTTTTAAATACCTATATTTTTTAACTTAATTCCTGCAAGGATGTTATTTGTACATTGAATCAACTAAATTTTGTGTACTGTTTCCAAAAGGTCACTGCCTTCCAAAATTGAAAAATGTCCTTTTAATTAAAATTCTTGTCACACACGTTTACAAATAATAAAAGAATGAGATAGTTAAACAAAAAATAAGCAGTACAATAGAAAAATCTGTTAAAATTGGAGCCGTACTGGTGAAATACAAGGTTGGTCAGGTCGAACGTCTCTGTGAGTTTGTTCAGTTTATCCTGGATGTTTTGTGGATTTACTGGAATGATACAAGAAATTTTTCACTTTGATGAATGAACTTCGAAATGCGACTGGCATTTCAAATGTATGTGTATTATTAAAACCAAAACTTGTGGGATGGACATACCAAAATATGTCCCCTCCCTTGATAACTACATTTAATTTCTTATCTTCACCTACTGGAGAAAAAATCCCTCTTACATTTCTTGAAATGCAAGAACTTAGGTTAAAGCAGCAGTTATAAGTTCAAAATTAGAGATAACATTACGCTGAGAAACTTTATAAGTATGTAAACATCGTTTATACGACGGAGGTTCAATAGCCTCGGAACATTTCTGCACGTCGCTTGCCATGATGAATTTTAAAACGCATAAACAACTTCACTTGCCGGAAGAAAAGCCAAAAAGGAATGTGAAACGTCACGAAGGCACAAAACTGAAGTGGAAATACGCGATGAAAGCTGTGTTGAGTCTTTTAAGGAAGAGGCAAGTGTCAGGTGGATAGTTTGTCTTTTAAATAGGGGTTTAATTATTTGTACTAAACGTGGGGTAAGGCTTTCTCTCTTGAATTAAGAAAGGGGTTACTTTTAAGAAAAAATCTCGCTGAGATAAGCCTTTGTCTGTGTGAATTCTTTTGGATTTGAAAATTTTTTTGCGATGGGATCACAGATTTTTCGGTTGGTGAGGTTGAGTTTTTTTAATTCTCGGTGGTTAAAACGAGCCCTCGTTGCGTCTGCCGAAAATACGGCGAGGAGGAGGTTGAGGAACGTTAATTACGTAATTGGTCCCCTCGAGGCCCCGGGCGAGGAATGGAGCATAATGAATAATGCATAATAACGGTCTCCACATCGCCATAAAATTAAAAAATGCCATTAAGGGGGGTTTTTAATTTTGGACTAGGAGAGCGGTTTGGATGGGCGGTCGATGAAATGACGGGGGGTGAGTGGAGGGGAAACGGGTTCTTCCGGGGGCGGAGAAGCCACCCATCCGACGACAATCGGCCAAATAATGTCGACGGAACGAGAAGAAAAACAAAAGAAAAAAGAATAGACGGACGGACAAATACCTTAGGCTCGGCGTCCAGGGGGGTTGATGTTGTTATCAATATTTGGGCCAACTTCTCAACACATCACTCACGAAAGGAACGGCGTCTTGTAACCGACTGCTCCAGGAGGGCACAGGTGTCTCGAGATCCTTCGCTGGAGGGGGCTTCTTCACCTACCTGGTGGGGAGAGGACATCGACACCGCTACATGGAATCTTCAATAATGATTTCGGAGAGATCTATGTCTGCTCACCACCATCTATCACACGGCCTTTTTACCCTACTTTAATAATGGACTTTTCTCCTAGGACGACTTTCGGCCTCAGACGCGATCGCCGTCCCCTTCGAGAAAAAACTGCCCGGTTATTGATTATGATTGCCTTTTCCACGTTTACCGAGGCCGATTGAATATTTTCTAATTACGACGATTGACGCGCTCGTCATAAACTACCGCCCTCGGGCCAACTGAACCTGTTGGAAATGAAAAAAAAATTCTAACTTGGCCCCGATCAAAGACAATTGTTGACATGAACTGTCTTGGAAGCGTTGGAAGATGGTTATAACATTTATCTCTTCCCTCTACAAACATCACCCAAACACTGGCAAAAAAGCCATAATGTGTATAGATAATATATAGCATCATGGGAAGAGTAGAAGACATAAATTGTGAGATTTTGTGCGTTGAACTGTAGTTTTGGCTTTTGTCATCATGTTGGTGAGTTTATCCTCCTTCTGTTAAGTTTGGCGCGTTACTTCCTTCTCCCCATCGTCGGTTCACATCTAGGTACGACAGACAAAATCAGCCATGCTAGGCAGACCGGGATTAACGGTAATTATCAAAAAATAGATTTACTGGCGAAGACCACAGGAGGATATCTCACAATTTATCTCTTGTCAGGGCACAAACAAATTTCGGGTAACGAAATAGTAGATACACTGGCCAGAGGAAGATCTGCAAGACCATACATGGGTCCCAAACCTATACTTTGGATAACAGAAATAAACACAGAATCTTCTATCACAGAATGGATCCAAATAAAACAAAAAAAGAAGTGGATAAACTCTAGCTGCGCTAAATATAGTAAACATTTTAAAACAACCCTCACAAAGACTGCCAAATTCACTGGTGCAGTTGGAGAGAGGTCCCAGACTCGGAGGAGTGATAGGACTATTAACCGGTCACTAGCACCAGAGAAAACATCAATAAAAAGGGCATATACAATGATGATTCCATTTGCAGATAATGTAAAGAGGAAGAAACACCCAACCATATCATCTTCGAATGCGAAGCAATAACAGAGCAGCATACAGAAAAAAATCTAGGGAATGAAATTGTAGCAGTAATAGTCAATGACCTAATATTTCTGAGAAGAAAGATTGAATCCATTGCACTGAACAAGGAGACTAGGAAAGCACAATAATTCCAGAAGTCTGCAGTGCCTGGGGAGCACGAATCCCCCTTCTTACTACCCTCCTCGTCCTCCTACTCATCATCATCATCTATCCATTCTGTTTTACATATCGGTATTTACAACCACCTAAACATATTGTGATTTTCTCTTGTGGTCTGCGGCGACCTGTAGTTGGGATCTGTTTTGACAAGTTTGTCGCGTTTCTCCCTTCCTCCCATTTTGCGTTCAAGTCTTCGACAGGCGACATCAGCGAGGATAATCGACAAATATAATTGCCAGCGGCCAAACTACAACTATTGGTAATTTCAATAAATATGACAGGTATAAGCATTCTAATGGCGACGGTTTACAAAGTGAATTATTAGTAAGGTGGCACGGATCGTAAACGGATCGTGTAGGCAATGGAGAAGCAGAACTGACTGTTTCCACAAAACCACTTACGTAATTAACTACGTTAATACACCTTTGTCCATGATTACATATAAATGAACATATAAACAGGTACTAAAACCCTTTCTAAAGGTTGGGTGTAGAACAGTGACATCAATATGTCGGTAGGAATAATCAATCTGCCGAAAACGTCGACAATTTAACATTTTGTAAAATTCAGAAATTAAGTTTTCTGTGAGAGGTTGAAAGTTAATTTTTTTAAGTGGATATTTAATTCGGTAGATAAAAGCAAATTTAAGCTCTTTGCCTAGTCGTTCTGTGGGGTGAAAACGTTCCAAATGGCTGAAGGAATTTTTTGATGAATTATCACTGTACTGTGATTTTCTGCTGTATCCTGTAGATGTACGGTGTACTTATCCGAAGTCCAAAACTTGATAAAGCATCTGTAAAGAACCGTAAAATTGGAATACTAATTTCGATAAGTTAATTCGTCGGTGTTCAAAAATATATTCAACTAATTAACGTTTTTAGTTGAGATAAAAAAATTGAAAGATATTAATTGGTCAAGCGGACCACGAAAACTAACGAATATATTCAACATTCCTTTTTTTCAAAATGATCCTTCAATCAATCTTTTTAATTGATATGATATTTCTTAAGAATTTTCAAATTAATTAAACTTTATGCAAGGTTTTTAGTTGAGATAAAAAAGTCAATGGCACGAGCGGGATTCGAACCCACGATCTTCGGCTAGATACGCCGCTGCTCTACCACTTGAGCTATCGTGACCTCGATCCACTTGGACACTAACTTCCCATCTCAACCCCACCTTTTGAATTTTCCCTCCTTTTTGCCATTTTTCAAATGTCGTGTAATCGGATTGGATTCCCGGCGACAAATGAAAAGGCCACGGAGAGCTTTAATGAAGTATACTTCATTTAAATTCATTAAATTCACAATCAAATAGTCAAGCGGACCACGAAATTAGTGAAATTGAATTAATTTTCTTTATTTATAATAAAATTTAAGCTAAAGAGTGTAAAACAATTAGTAACACGATAGAAGTAAACAACAAGTTATTAATGTTGTGTTTATATTTTAAGTCTACTATTATTATTTTTCATTAATTAAGGTTTTTAGTTGAGATAAAAAAGTCAATGGCACGAGCGGGATTCGAACCCACGATGTTCGGCTTGGTACGCCGCTGCTCTAACCACTTGAGCTATCGAGACTTCAACTTCAACTCAAGTGGTTAGAGCAGCGGCGTATCAAGCCGAAGATCTTTCGAATCCCGCTCGTGCCATTGACTTTTTTTATCTCAACTAAAAACCTTAATTAATTGTAATATATTAATTGGTCAAGCAGACTACGAAATTAGTGAATTTATGCAAGGTATTGGTTGAGATAAAAAAGTCAGCGTCAGGATTCGAACCCACGACCTTCGTCTAAATACGCCGCTGCTCTCTCACTTGAGCTATCGTGACCTCGAACCACCCGGACCCCAACTTCTCATCTCAACCCACCTTCCGAATTTTCCCTCCTTTTTGCCATTTTGTTGCAGGCATTAAAAAATTGAAACAAGTTATTTGGTCAATCGGTCCACGAACTCTAATGGATTTTCTTAACAATATGGATTATTCAAGAGTCTTTGTGCTTTCGGGTCGTTCTTCGTAAAAGTCATGAATGAAAATTGGTTTTCTTTGAGAGGTTAAAATAAATTTTTCGTGGATATTTAATTCGGTAGTTAAAAGCAAATTTAACCTCTTTGCCTAGGTGTTTGTGGGGTGAAAACGTTCCAAAATGGCTGAAGGAACTTTTTGATGAATTATCACTGTATTGTGGCTATCTGCTGTATCCTGTAGATGTACGGTGCACTAATCCAGAGTCCAAAACTTGATAAAGCTGCTGGAGGAGGCATACTTATCTATCGGTAATCCTTAAAAAATCCCAAAAATGTAAACCGAAAAATCCATAAATTGGCAAATGTTTTAAATATGCGGTCTCACGATCTCCGGATAATCATTGACTAACGGTCACTAAACACCACACGTTTTAAATATATAGATTAACGTTGATTGAAAAACTACAAACAATAATAAAATAATAAAAAAATATAAACATCTGACAGCGCGTTTAGTAGTTCAAGGATTCATCATCTCATATTATTATTGTAAGTTTCTACCCAATTTTTCGGTAGCCTTTTGGGAACTTGCATAGGAAAGAACTTCGACATCGGGAAACGGACGTCCTTTTTTTGGTGACGTGTTAGATAATAGGAAAAAGTTTCAGATGGTCTTTACAGTTTGTCTGTATTGTCTCCCGCGGATTTGTCCGAAAGTCTTCGCGTCACGACAGACCCGTTTGGTTTCGCTATAGGCGGCGGCTGGGAATGCCTGATGCAATATTTATAAGGGGACTCCTTTGCCCCTTCCGGACGCCGAATTCCCTTCATGGCTGGTTCTTTCGTTTCGAATTACAGCGGTTTCCAGTGCAGGTGGACAAAAAAGCTCACAATTACTACCCGGTTGACTGTAAAGAACCGTTAAATCGGAATACTAATTTTAATAAGTTAATTCGTCGATGCCTTTTACATACATTCAACTTTTTTTTTTCAAATTCATTTTCTTTCTTTTTTCAAAATGATCCTTCGATGAATCTTTTTAAACGATATGATTTTCCTTAACAATATCGATGATTCGACTTCGTGCTTTTCGGGTCGTTCTTCGTATCTGAACTGAAGTTTCTGATAGCTTTCGTGATAGCTCGAAAACAGAGGTGATAAATCGAAAGAAGTCCCTGCTGATAATTAGACATCTGGGGTCATTAGTGTCCACAACTGTTATTTTATACTTGATCGATGCCCCTTTTTTATCGTGACTCGAGGAGCGAGCAAAAGTAAATACTAAGAACAGCTGTGATGTATCGCCTGTAAGATCCAACAGACATAAATCCTTTCGGACTTTCGGTAATTGCCGGCTATCTGTCTATGAACGCTGTATTATAAACAGACCAACCGAAACAGAAAATTCAATGTTATAAAAAGAAAAACTGAAGATTTATCGAGGAAAACCCATGAAAATAAATCATAAATAATCCAGTTGCTTATTTATAAATTTGCAAATGCATAGTTTCTATAAGTTCGCTTGTAGACGTAATACATAAATAAATTTTTATTGACATTTGATTTGATCAAAAGCCTACTCTACGAAAGTTAGTTGTGCAATTTATCAACTTTTTATGTTTCACACATAATTAATAATTTTAGCTGTAATTACTCCTCGAACTCTTCAAAACTTCCTTTATTAAGTCTACCCTCCTCGATATACATTCTTGTTCATCATTGATCACCCAG